ACAAAAAAAAAAAAAAAAAAAAAAAAAAAAAAAAAAAAAAAAAAAAAAAAAAAAATTTTTTTAAAAAAAAAAAAAAAAAAAAAAAAAAAAAAAAAAAAAAAAAAAAAAAAAAAAAAAACAAATTTTGTTTACTAAAATGAATGGATAAGAAAAAAAAACAAAAAACAAACCGTATCGTTTACAACGAAAGAAAAAAAACAAATTTGCAAAACAAAAAAAACCGACTAAAATTTTTTTTATTTATAACAAACGAAAAGACCTAACTAAAAAACATGTTATTTCATACAACCGTCTGAACAGCGAATAATCCCCCCCTCCTCAAAGTCGGGGGGATATTGTACAACAGGGCCTTCACAAACATGAAATTGGTAGACATCGAATTGAAGTAAACAGAGTGGCGACGGATTGTCCGGGCGTCCATTATCAAAAAGGAATCTCCATTGCATGCATTGTGAATCATCAAGACATGCTTTGCAGCATTCTGCGGCGGTATACAAAGGAGGAGTTTTTGCCGTATAGTAAGAGTCATGGATATTATTATCCCATCCTGTAGTACCGGGAGCTGAACAACATGGTTTCTTGCATTCAGTTTTTGTAAGCGTACAAGTATTAGTTACTACGCAATGTTTGCCATCTTGATGACCCTGACCATCCCCACAATTTTGATGAGGGTCCCTACAATCTGGACAAGTAAGAACGGGAGTGGGAGTAGCGTCAGCGCAAGAGATTGTGGTCGTTGTTGTCGTCGTTGTTGTCGTAGTTGAACATTTTCCAGCATCAACAATGAAAACCAATGCTAGTAGTGCTAGTAGGTAAAAAAGAACGACCGAAGTAAATGTAAGAGATTGTCCATTCATTGTTGCAAAAATACTATTGCAAGTTATCGAACCAGAGGGACTTTCAACGGTTTTTATGTCGAAATGAAAAGGGAGTGAATGATTGGTGCGATACAGATATGCATGCCTCCTTGAGAATGTGCATGTTTAATTAATGGCAATGTATCACAATTCAAAGATCTGTAAATAGTACGATTGTCGGTTGTACTGTAATTAAAATTACCAGAATTCCAACATAATAATCCATAATAATTTTTTCATATCATGTAAACAGATATTATAATTATCGCCAGTTGAAATTTTAAGGTTGTAGCGTTTGTATATGTTGAGTAATTCGAAGATCTGTAATCGATCATGGCCGTTAATGCTGTAATTGAAATTACTAGAATTTCAACATAATAATGCGCAACAAATTTTTAATAGCTTGTGAGAAAATGTTATAGTTATCGCCAGTTGAAATTTCAAGAGAGTAGCGTTAGTGGTTGTAGAGTTATTAACGAAAACGTCTTTTCGATTGATCATCTCGTTCATATACTTGTTTTGGGAACGACTATCGAATCAGGAAATGATTGTTGGTGTTACTACCCAAAAAGGCTAACCATCCGATTTAGAAACGATTAACATAAATTAACTAATTTAGAAATAACGTGACTTAAATTCTATTTTTTTTTTGAATGTTAGATTTATATGGCAATGTAAAAGGTAGATCAATCAAAATCATAAAATTGTAAATATCTCAAGAACCGCAAAAGGTACGGGAATGAAATTTACATATTTTGTAAAGGTACATATTGTCGATACGCATGTTAAGTTTCACCACAAGTCATAAAGTCCAATATCTCACAATTTAAGTATTTGTAAATAGTACGATTACCGATCTTAAATCGTTAACACGGTATTTGAAATTTGCAGAATCTGTACATAATAACCCGTAATGATTTTTTAATAGTCTGTAAATAAATGTCACATATACAAAATATTAAAATTTCACGACTGTAGCGTTTGTAGTTGTCGAGTAATTTAAAGATCTGTACGCAATGTATACATCGATTATACCCGTTAACACGGTATTTGAAATTGTTAGATTTCGTACATAACAAAACGTAACCATTTTTTGATATCATGTAGACAAATGTTATGTCTACAAAATATTAAAATTCCGTGAACGTAGCATTCGTGATTGTAGAGTTATTAACGAAAATGTGTTTTCGATTGATCTACTCGCTCATATACTTGTTTTGGGAACGACTATCGAATCAGGAAATGATTGTTGGTGTTACTACCCAAAAAGGCTAACCATCCGATTTAGAAACGATTAATATAAATTAACTAATTTAGAAATAACGTGACTTAAATTCTATTTCTTTTTTTGAATGCTAGATTTATATGGCAATGTAAAAGGCCGATCGATCAATTTTACAAAATCGCAAATATCTCAAGAACCGTAAATGCTACGAGAATGAAACTTACATATTTTGTAAATATATCTGTTGTCGATACGCATGTTAAGTTTCACCACAAGTCATAAAGTCCAATCTCTCACAATTTAAGTATTTGTAAATAGTACGATCGCCGATCTAATCGTAGAATCTGTACATAATAACCCGTAATGATTTTTCAGAACTTACTCAAATACTGCAAAATATTCACAAATGTACCGTTTGCATCATGATATTCTACATAATTTACCTGCAACACGCATCGTTTGTGAGTTTTTGCACATTGTTTAATAGCAATTAACGTTAATTGTGAAGGTTCTTAAATTATTGTTCATCGACAGTTTTGTTATTGGTTGTAACTTTATTGTCTTACCGGGCATGCCGAATCATGAATGAAGCCAATTAACACTTCAAAAAAGAATTCGTTCTACAAAAGATGCTTACATTCACAAGATTATTGGTGAAAATTGACAGATCTGGTTTTATTTAAACAATCATGTTATTTATAGGGCCCTAGTTATTTAACAATATTTATTGTGTTGGTGCTGTTTTACGTATATAATGAGGAATCTTCGTTTGTTCATCATATGCTGCGGACACTTAATAAGACCAACGAGATAAATACCACTCTGAGCAATTCGACGCAGTTAGGAATCTCCGCATCCAATGAAGGGATAACATACGAGCCTGTACGACGTGTCCGGTTAATTTGAAACTGTATTTCAATGAGTCGGAATTTGCTTTGAACAGAATCAATGACCACATTTTTTGTCATAATAGTTGTCTCTTATTTATTCAAAATAATCGTAATACAAGTGCAGTAGAAATTCAATCCAACACACTCTACGTTCTACTCTTCTACAAACATTTTGCTCTTTCTATCTGATCACAACAACTCGCTTCTCATTATCTCGTTCCTTCTCTTATATCACACTCCCAAGAAGCTCACACCCTTCTCTTCTCAGTCGCTTTGGCAAGGATATCGCTAAACTCCTGGTACGGACCCTTCTTATGTTCAATCTTCTCCCACAAATCAGGAGTCAAGAACGCATACGTATTTCCAATCGCAGCAAACGTGGCCTTGACAAAATTACCCAGGGTACGTGTGGAACCCCTAGACGTGGTATAACAATCAGTGATTCCTGCTAATTGTAAGAGCTTCTTGGGAGTAGGCGCAGCTACGATGCCAGTACCACGGGGAGCGGGAACTAAGCGGCAAGTTACGGATCCGCAGCGACCAGTGACTTTTGAGGGAACAGTATGTGGATCACCGAGGAGGGAACCCCAGTATCCGCGGCGAACGGGAATGATGGAGAGTTTTGCTAGGACAATTGCACCACGAATAGCAGTAGCTACTTCCTTTGAGCATTTGACTCCGAGACCTACGTGTCCGTCCGAGTCACCAACTACGACGAAAGCCTATATTAGATTTGGGGCGAAAAAGTTAAGAAAAAGTAAGAAATTGAATGATTGTGATTTAAATGCTTGATTTGATGTATATAACATATTTAATATCTCTATCAGTCCTACGTTACTAGTAATATATAGCATTGAAACGTAGAGACAACGTCAAAGTATATATCTATTTAATGAGACATTCGCAAATACAAATGTCGGTTCAATCCCATAGTACTTATTCTTACTCGTTCTCATACCTTAAACCGAGTCCGTTGACCAGCACGTGTCTGTTTTTGCACAGGCATGATCTTCATGACTTCATCCGATAGCTTTGGAAGAATAGTGTCGACAATCTGATATTCCTTAATAGGAAGAGAGTATTTGTAAATCTGTTCAAGGTCTTTGATTTTTCCTTCTTTGACCAATCGTCCGAGTTTTGTGACTGGGGCCCTTGGAAGATAAAGACGATTGAATGTCAAAGGTCAGAAGATTGATGCTCATTATCTACCCGTGGTATATGATAGTAATTCATTACGATCCACTATGCTTACCATTCTTTCTCGTCATCTTTTCGACCACGACGGGCACCGCGTCCACGTCCACGTCCACGCCCTCTATCGCCACGACCACGTCCGAAACCACGTCCTGTTGTTGATAAGTAAGTTAATTGATGGTTTACGTATGTACGTATGCACATTAAATAAAACCAACTGGTTAATCGCTATATCTAAAATTGTATCATTATCGCTAGCATAGACATTAATGAGATGTTATTATCATTAATGGTGAAATCACAGACAGGAACAATCACTACAATAATCCCAAAATCAATAAATCAGTTGATCTCCCCTCCCCTCTCGATATTTTACAAGTGTGAGAAGAAGAAAGGTGTATGCAGCATGCTATATTCTATTTCTTATGTATAATTCTTCAGAAATGTAATTACTAAGACAAGCATCTACTTCACACATACACACACAAAAGTTGTAACTTACCACCACCACGACTATCGGCCGCGTTTGTGTCAGCCATTTGCTGTAACGCAAACAAAGAACAATAGTGTTAAAAACATCACACTCACCTCCTGTTTGCACTTCTAATTTTCTCTAAACATATACTGTTTCTATACAAACACACAACATTCTCTCTCTTATCTAATCTTTATTTTTCCTCCGATCTCTTGTACGCAGTAGCCTCATGTTCACTCTCACTTATCTCTCTACATCCATTTACTATACAGATGGATGTCTTCGAATGTGCAATCGATAACTCACATAATCTAGCGTTTGGATGAACCCTTCCTTGGGTGGAGAATTCGAAAGGAGGAAGGATTCAAAGATGCTGAGGTCGATGTTACTTTATTAGTTGATTGCGTCATCAGGAATGTGACTAGAACGGATTCTGAATGGATGAACATGATTGGATGATTTTTGGTGCAGGTGGGGTGTTATGAGAATTGATTGGATTGTCATGTGGTGCGTGATGATTATGATTAGACCAGTCGGGAAATGACAAAAACGCGCGTGGTGAATGTTTATGAAATGGTTGTCTGTTATGGTCGTGGATGAGCAACGCGTTTATAGAATATTAAAAAACATAACAATCATTGCGAAGAATGCACTCTGATTGTGAATAAACCAGCTGCTTATATCACTTGTGATGGAAGGCCGTTAAGTTGTTTGGGGAAACAGGCTTCATTATCAGTGGTCAGAAACTATTACATTAATATTATTTATCAAGCTCATAATAGAGGGTCTATTAACAAGTAGCATTTCCAGAACATTACCTGCATATCATGTGATAATTATATGTGTACAACAGTTAACGACATGCATACATTCTCTCATCATCACAATTAGAATCGGATATGCCAACATGTATGAATCCTTATGACATTTATATCGGTGAATATGGGTTTGCACGCACAAAGCATCTTGGCATCCTCTAACACATAACAAAGCAATCGATCGGGGATCTTGTTCATGAGCCTATGCAGGTGACAGAATAAAGGACGTTTTAGATGCATTGTTTCAACTTGCGTTCGCGGACCTTTACCAGAGTTTTTTATATCGATGAAGCAACTAATAATGCGTCTGACTCGATGAAAATGCTTTCCCAATAAGATAAAATTAAAGAGATATCGCCAACGACCCACAATCCGAATCGCGTCAAGCTAATTTGTAAATAGTTGAAGAAATAGATCATATCGTAATTATCAGATTACCTTTTACTGAAATAAATAACTATCAAGGAACTGACGTACAGTATGTAATGGACATTCAAAAAATAGCTGATCGTGATTGTTACTTGATACCGACTCAACACCCAAATCACTGACTATGTAACTCTAACAACGATGACATTACAGAGTCAAGATTAATACACAAGAAATTTGTTTACAAAACATCTATATAATTAAGAGCAGAGGTGATCGTAGTAGATAGCAAGCATAACTAAGTATACTGCTATCCCATAGTCCCGTTCCAAATAAGCGCAATACTTTCAATCTTTCAACTGAGCATTCATGGAAAGTTTTTATTTAATTAATATAAATCTTTCGAGAAGATAATATTAATATCGATATCTATATTAATATAGTGCTCTGAAATTTAGCCTTTTTCATCTTGTTTTATTACTATCATTGCCCATATTGATAATATAACTTCTTTTATCTACAGCTAAATTTGAATTTATTGTGTATATGATCTAACATTGTTAATATTCTAGAATTATAATAAATTGTTCATAAAATATCAAAAGGAAAGAAAAAAAGAAAAATAAATTGTTTTATGCCAATGATTGTTAATATTGTATATCTAATGAAAATGTAGCTACAGGCCTTAATATACTTCAACTAAAGATGTATGCGCGTAGACATACTCTTGAGTAGTTGAATCTTCAATCTGCATATTCAATCTTGTTCCACTCCTTTGTCTCAGAATCATAAACCATCTCAACTGTCGGCCTATAAAACCAGCAGATGCACCAAAAGTTAGCAACGATTCAGAACAAATCCAATGCAATTTATGTATGCATTCATCTATGCAATTAACCCTATTCCCGTTTATTCTACGACCTCGCTATACGTACCAATAATGATAACATGTCTTGACTGCCAATACCATTGGTATCATGTCAAAACTTATAGTCTTTACTCTTACGTATGAGTTATCAGGGCATTTACGCACGACAGATATGAAGGAGTCAAGATCTGGGGTCGGAATGCCATTTATATGTGTACTATACAATGAGAAAAGCGAGGTAACAAGAATAAAGCAAAGATAAATGAGAACAATATTCAGATAACAATCGTCACAATAACATTATGGCAATCGATATACTTACATCCACATAGTCGGTACTATCCCATACATATATGCGGGCGAGCCTTTACTTCGAGCCGAAATGTAAACTCTTGACGGAAGTGTCTTTGACTGTTGAAGAACTGCTTTATGAGGCTCTGCATGGTTATAATATGTGTTCTTAATATTTGACTTTCAGTTCTCATGAATAACCAGTATGCGTATAGGCAATAATTGGACTACAACTCTACCTTGAATAGCAGCCCCCGCCCAGATAACGATACGGCTTGTGCCAGTGCCAGATGTTAATTCTGTAGAGACTTTTAAAGTCAGTTCTTTCTCTTGTCGCAGCACAGTCTGGAAGTATAAGTATTATTAGCAAAATACAACATACCAACATACATTCCGTATATAGCAATTCTCTCCCAAATACCGTATTTTCTTTTGGCAAACGTAAACTAGCCCTCAACAATTTCCCCCATTCTATCTATCAAATTAATTAAAATTTACTCACAATCTCCAATTCTTCTTCGTAATATTGCACATCCATCTCATACATGCGTGTAATAGTCTTTCCGTTGACCGCCAATATCAAATCCAACTCTTTCAACACTCTCGCACTCTTACTCCCTGTTTCTGTCCTCCTAATCAAAAACAGCTGATGCCTGCTCGGATTAGCATCTTCCACCTTCCTTACCCACTCTTCTGTCAACCCCATGTGGCGAGCCTGAGCAATTTGGACAGGCGTAAGTTCGATGTTTAGTGAGCGTAACATTGGAGACTCGCCTCGGCGCAGAGTGTCGAGGACCGGCAGGATTGTATGGACGTGCAACCCAAGATGGTATTCGTTGTCGTGACCGGATACGTTGCGTTCGCCCAGATAAGAAAGCCAAAGAGCTGATACGGCACCTGATGGGTCGGCTAGAACGCCCGATGAACATTGTTGGGCTAAAGGTGTATCAACTGTTATTGCGTCTAGATTTATCGATCTGTAAATAGATAAATAAAAGGGGAGAAAAGAAAGGTGGGAAAGAAGAAGGTTGACTATTAATATTGGGTTTGTTCTTCTTTAAGATGTGACGTTTTTATACGGTATGACACCCACGACGACTCAAACGCCAGAAAGACAAAAGTCTTAAACAGAAACTTAAACGAACCTGAATCTCGGTGTAGCGTTCTGTGGGATCGTGACACTCGTGACATCCGTGACAACAGTATCCGAACACACAATTCTATGATTATGATTAAATGCCACTAATGTAACCTTATGTCCTCGAGCCAATACTCTATCACTCAAAACTGCACTTTTCACCGGCGTATCACCAATTAGCTTAGGATCGTATGAGACAAAGGCAAAATTATGTGTCGGGTGAAGATATTCTACACGTCCAGGGATGATGATGGAATCGGCGAAAGTGATTGATAAGTCGCCCATTGTGAAAGGAATTACGGAACGAGAGACAACGATTAAACCTTTATCGGCATCTACTACTACTCCGGCGCCTTGTTTCTATGTGGGAAGTAAGAAATATTGTACGATTATTACTTGAGTACGTGTTTGTATTTCGAGTATTCGTCCCGCACATAACATGACTCACCCTACTCTTAGGAAACCCATCAATACGACATGGCATATAATAGCCGACTTTCACTAAAGAAGCAATGAGATCTTTAGCCGCACCCATGGATTCATCAAATTCAATAAACCTTGCTGTGGCGGGCTTTAAAAGCTTTGGCGGCTTCGGTGGACCTAAATCTGTGAAATCCCAAAGACCTGTTGTATCTATTGAAAGTAAAGTATATGATTTAATCGTTATCATATTTCGTTCCCTCAGAAACCTTATGTCAATATCTCTTTTGCTTTACTAAATTATTTGCATCACAACTTACCATTCCTAACAGCCAATCTAAACCTTGACCAATGTCTTTCTACTTGGACAACAGCAACACTGGTGGTATGCACGTCGGCAATCGAATAGTAGACAATAGGTATCCTCTCTCTATCTGGTATATCCTTCATAACTTCAATAAATGTCGGCAAATTGGGCGTAGGCTTATTATCCACAGAAGCAATAATCCAACCATGATCCGGTCCATCAAGACGAAACATGCCCGCCGGTTCAGCAACATACACTCCACCAACGGGGACACAATATGATCTAGCTAGTTGGTAAGATAATTCATTCAACTTTGCGCCACCTATTTCAACATATCTATCGGGCGTTATCGAATGTAAATCTTGTACACGAACACAGAATTCGAGAGCAACTCCGCCCCGCTCAATGCAGATTTTGATTTCATCTCCGACATTTGAATCTAGCATTTGACTCAATGGGACAAATTTTGTAATGTGTTCTCCGTTGATGCTGATTAGAATGTCTCCTTCCTCCATGAATTTTGAAGCAGGTCCGCCTGGAACGACTGTTTCGGCAACTAGCATGCCGATTTCTCCTGGGAATAGTTTGCGTATAAATGATTCAGTCTCCGTTCGCAAGCCTAAGCGGCGTGTTTCGTCAAATGGCTTGTGGCTTTTATAGCATATTGAATAAATATATGCGAGGGTGAGACAAAAGACATGGGGAATATTATGCCGGAAAACGCGTAGACAAATCATTATTCTATACACTTGTTAAAAAGCTTACAGAAGTTGGACTTGGATGGTTCCTCGTGGTACTTTCTCTCCTCGCTGTAAATGATCCAAAGCACGTGCTACGCGATCTAAAGGTAAAAAGAAGTCTGTTGCTGCCTTTGTGTGGCCACCTAAAACAGAAATGTTATATATGAGAAGCACGGCTCAGTATGACACAACCAAACCCTGTCATCATGAGTAATTGATGTATCGTTAATACTACTACTATTCTCAAATACTTCAATGTCGAAAGATACAAACCTGCCTGTAACGCAACAGCATTTCCATGAATATCAATTACGGGACTTCCTGAACTCCCGCCACTCGTACTGGATGCCGCTTGTCTGCATGAAGGAAATATACCAATGAATTTGAACGTATAACAAAGTTTAATCTTGGGAATCGCATAGATCCCACCCGAGCCTCATTTTTTTCAATCCCTTTATACTTACAGATAAAATGTGCTGCAATATGTTCCAGTTCGTGTTATAATTTTGGGTTATTGCGAGCAATTTTCAGAAAAAAAAACTGCCATGACCAAAACTCTTAATTTCGCAGCGAAGCGTACAACTTACTTAAAATCGTTATATGTCAAATCTCCGTATTCCGGCGCGTTGCGATCAAGACGAGAGATCGATCCAGCTAGTATAGAAAGCTTCTCCCCAGCATCATTGCCAACAACTCGAATGTCGAGTCCCACTTTTGTGAGGTATGGAGCGAGAGGGATTTCGTTGATTGGCATATACTTTATTTCTTGCGGGTCGAATTTGAGAAAACTTCATATGGATAGAATGAATAATATAAATGAGATAACAATTGACAATAGATATTACCCCCTTGTTAATCGGATATATGTTAAAAGCCAATATTTCTCATATATAGATAATGATTCTATTTCTTATATCCGTTCTTATTATACACGCTCTCCCTTCCCACCTTCTCTCCCTATTCTCTCACCAATTTACCAATCTCTTCTCGATCTATGCCTCATCCTACATTCTACTCACCCAAAATCGTGTACAGGATCTCTATAAACAGGATACACGGAAATCTCTTCGTGATCATGACACACTGCTTCACCAACAAATGGACCCGCACATGCGACGTGTCTTGTTTAAAAGAAAAAAAAAGGAATTGTTGGTCAGCATGCCGTAACATGAATGTTATGCGTGTTTATTATAGTTCGAACATTTGACAAGTCGAGTAAAGCGATTAACAGGAATCAATACCTGTTGGTTAATATTAATCCTCTTTTAGCATCAACTATGAATCCGGATGCTTCTGATGTCTCTGGACCTATGCGAACAAGCGAGAGAATGTGGAATGAGAATGAATGAATTGTGAATAAATATTATGCAAATATATCTCGCGGCATTGCAAATGGTATTACATAACTTGTTATATTATGTAATTTTGCAATATACATAGTATATGTATTAGCTTTTTCCACCGTACTCACGTTTCATTCTTACCACCATTACCACCGTTACTCTCCCGATTACCACCTCCTTTCGTTCAACATACCCTCGGTGTCAAATGCAGCAACCTGGCTGAATCTAATAGACACTATGGCAGTAACGGCCTTTTCGATCGTGTCCTGCCAAGGCGGAGGCTGGAGTGCTGAAAAGTTCGCGTTCTGTAGATGGTCTTCATTCGTGTTATCGGCCAACTCCTGACGCTTGCTGTTCTGAGTAGACACGAGATTCAGGGAATTCAAGGAATTTGTACGCCTACGCTTTTTCTGGGGGGGATTGGGTGTAGAAGGACTCGAACTTGCAACGAGTTGCGACGCTGAGCTACTTTCTAGTTGTATGTCTTCCATTCTGTAACCGCTCGTGAGTATTAGATTGAGAAAAGGCGCAGTGAGGTGGGGAAGGGGAAGGGGAAGGGAAGATTATATATGCGTCTGGGAAGGGGGGAAGAAGAAGGGGGTAAGTCTAAGGTGAATAGTCTGAAAGAGTTGAAAGTTCTTCCTCACTTGATTTGATTACACACTTTGTAATTTAATTTTTTTTTTTTTTTTTGATTTAAACTTATTTTTACATATTTGTCAATTTTACCCCCGTCTGTTTGTAGGAATCCGAAGTGACATTTATTCCTAGATCAAGAGCTAATACATTCCTAGATTTACAATGGAGAGTGTTCTATTGTTCAAATAACATGCAGAAACTATGTTGTTCTATTTATTTGACGGTTCGTCTTTCCAGATACGGATTCAATGCTCAAGTGGCTGATGGGAGGAAACGAAGTCTTGGCATCGTCAAAACCTGTGTGGGCGCCAGTTAAATCTAACAATCATGAGCCTCGCCGTTGCTGTCAGAAAATGGCCGATACCCCTGACAGTTTCAGACGACCAGGTATGGATAAATGCTTGCATCAATTCTCCTCCATTGTTCATAAGAGTAATCACTTAATAATAACCTTTTGTGAGCACTTTCATTAATAAATACAAGATTATTAATATTAATTATGTAATAGATAATAATAATAATGCAGATTAACTTAATATTAAATTTGATTGGTTGGGACTTTCAAAATAGCTGTGCTTAATAAAGGACACGAAATCAAAAATTTCATTGTTAATGTCGTTAACTAACATCAATGGTATTAGTATTCTCCCTAATCTTAATCACATGACCATACGTAATCATCTGATTATCAATATCAGATATAAGAAATCTTACATTGGCGACTTAAAATTCAACATTAATATTAATGCGGTTCAAGAATGACTCTTGGAAGCTGTAAAATTTACTTCATCAACAATAACAATGTAAACTATAAGTAATATACTGTGGATGCTAACCTGCGGTCCGCATAGAATCAACGTCCTCAATCAGTGAATTACTTCGATCGTCTGGGGGGGGGGGGGTGCGCAAGATATATTTTAACCATCAGACCTTTAAAGCGCACTTTGGCGTTCACCAGATCCTTGTCAAATACAAATAAAGAATGCAAAATTCCAAGCAGAAATATACCAACAATCGCGGGAGAGCGATCGATCGTTAATTTAGCCATTTCGAACGGAGCGGTGGCCTCTCCTACTTTTAGCTAAACACGAACGACAGTTAGTGACGCTTCAAACAGGCTTTACCACTCAAGGCTATTTGTCAATCGGTATTCCCTTCCGATGGAATTATTTGGTATAATAATAATTGTATCTAACTAAAACGCGTTTATAAAGACAAATAACAATTGTAATGCCGCGAAGAATTATTTATATTAGAAAGGAATACTATTACGTAGGATGAATTGCAAATATGCAAAATCCAGCAGAAACTCGAGCTACTTAGCGTATGTGATACTCCGAAATGACTGGAAACTGCGATCCTCCTTTTCATTGATATTGTATTTCAGATGCTACGAATAAAGCCAACAGTAGAGAATTGACAATGAAGCCTCATTGTCCAGTAAACAGAGCTCGAATGTAGACGATTAGCACCAAACTCATTACCAGTTTCATAAACTTTAAATGATATACCCCAGCAAAGACAGCTAACAGTAAACGTGCACGCGCGGTATTTATGAAGAGGAGTAAACCCTTGAATTACAAGTTTATTCAAAAAGTGGTCGAGTCACTAAATCATAGCAGTGGATGTTGATATTGTAGATTGACTTCGTTTATATAACCAGACTAATTGGTGTCTTCGTAAATCCAAACTAGGCAGTATAAACGTAACACATATTCAACAGCCCGTACAATGATTACGATTAAACAGTCATTAGATCATACGATTAATGCAATAGTCTATAGTCTTCGAATCATACGATTAAAGCAGTAAGCATGCCATTAGAATCATACGATCAAAAGCTAAATGTTATGTATTCGTGTAGACTAAGACCTGTTACCGGAATAAAAAGCCTAATCTCGCGTGCAATTACATAAATTACCTGTTGTCTTCATTCACAAATATAAAAAATCCCGCTGTATTCTCAATATCGATAAAAAGACACTTCCTGTGTTATATTATTGGAGTAGCTCAGCATGGATGCAACGATCTATATTAACAGAAATTGGATAATTCAACTCAACCAAGAAATGCGCCGGAAAAGAAGATAATATTGTTATTGCTAGACAATGTGTCAACCCATCGATTGGATGACAATGAGCAATTAAGCGACGTTAAATTGCATTTTCTTCCACCAAACACGTCTGTTCTCTCGACCAGGGAACAATCTATTCATTTAAGGTTGTTATTTACACCTGTTGTGTCTCGTATAATTACTTCTCAGAATTAACTTGTTCATTTTTTAGGCTCAAGATAGAAAATTACTCTGCAAAAACAGAATAGATGCTTTTGATGAATATCAAACTCACGGACACGAGGTTCCTGAGTTAATACAATCAATTGGACTGCGGAGGCATGGAATAACGCAACAGATAAAGTAATCTATCGATGCTGGCAAAGGACTGGCATTATACCAGAAGAATATAGAACAGAAGATATGTCGATTGAAACCAAAGAAAATAATGAAACGGCGGTACAATTTCTTCTCAATCGAATGGATATAATGGATTTGACAACAAGGGATTATGACGTTGATTCAACTTTGGAAGCGACTCAGATAATTGATGACGACAAAATTATTGAGGCAATTCAAGAGCCAACTGAGAATGAAGAAGAAGCAGAAGAAGATAAACGTCCATTAGTTTCACTAAGATAGCTTTAGAAAGCATCCATAATTTATTGAACTACATACAGCAATCGAATAGTTCTGTATTATCAGGGATAAAAAGTCGATTCTCTAAAACAAGCTAGTCTGCAGGATTATTTTTACAGTTACGATGTGATTATAATTATTAATAAAAGGCTTAATCACGTAACTGTGTACCATGAAATTTAATTCGATACTGTCATAATAACTGCAAATTACTAAATATAGGTAAAATCAAATGGTAGCATTATTTTTATTCTGACCACCCGCATTATCACAAGTAATCTTTAAATACTTTTTACCTTTATTCAATCTCTTTATTTCATCGAACACCATGCTTAGCGTGCCGTTAAGTTTTTTCTCTATGATTTCGTCCACATCAAGAACGTAATTAATTTGTTCGCGTACTGCTCCCCAAATAAATGTGAGATAATAAATCTTTCACCTGTTGATCGGCATGGGACACGTGAACATTTCGTAACTGTAATGCGCAGTAGCGTCAACACTACAATATTCAGTTTTACCTCTCATCATAAAATGCTCATCTACCAATTTTCTCTGTTGTTCAGCTAATTTCGTATTTCTGTTGTAATAATTTCTCTCTAATTTAGCCTTAACCAGATGTGTTCTTTGTACTTTTTCAACAAATCTCTTGCTTTCTCTTCCTTGCGAGCATTATACTGTAAGCCGTTCCGAAAATGTTGGCACGTGTCACATAAATCCGCTCTCGGACTCATAATTTAAATATAAGGTGTTAAAGTTCAATGGTGCTCCTTCTTACCAATACATTCGGTTGGTGCCATAACTTGCGGAACGCATCATATTTTAACAATTTCAACGTACTGTTGTTTTCAATACCTGCAATAAAATCGCGAGAGACCGATTTATAACTCGTTTCTGCTGGTAAAAGTCTAAGTGATTGAGTAATCCATGAATTTCAGCACGGTTTTCTTCACGGGTTATATCAATGGCTATTTTGGTTTTCCATCGCGGCACTCGTTTGATATTCCCATGAACACGCGGTATGATTTCGAAGTGAGTGCGACTAATCCCTAACACGTTTTCTGGCAAAGAGGTGTATGCAATCTCCATAATAAAAAATTCTCTTATCAGTGCGCGTTTTCTTTTTAAGACGTCGACTAGCAGTTATTTCTCCACGTTCATTGCTTTCAGCTGGGCCATTTCACGTAACTCCCTTGGATTGCATTCATAATTATATATGGGGGTGATCCTATATAGACTTTATGTTTAACGATAGCACATAATTACTTACATCAGATAATAAATTTACTCCGTGATTGTGCAAATCTTTGTTTAGTAAGCTACATAGAACTCCTAACTTTCGTAATATAATTTCTAAGTGTCACTATCTCTGTTAATGAGACATGATGTAGGCCAACGTCCTTACAAAAAAATTAGCCAACCGCCCAACTCACTTGGTTACAGCAAGTAAAACTTTGCTTCAAACAATGTATGACTTTTGAAAATAAGCCATGCTGTGAAGTTAAAGCTAACACCGTTCTGAATGCCAGACATATTATATCAGTCGTTAGTTCCTTTGTTGTACTTAACAGGTATTTATATGTGCTGATCTTCATTGTCTACATACAACGCGTACCAAGCGTTCGGCTTCAGTATGCCGGAAGTCGATAATAGCCCAGTTCGTGGAAGGAATACATGAATATGTGCCTCCACCAACATGATCTTTCATCCTCTGATCTAGTCAATTACCTGTCCGAATCTAGATTAATGTTGCATTTGCTGGCACGGCCGCCTGGTACCACTCCATTTGCCAGGCTCTTTCTAACAGGCGTTGCATTCGTTGATTTCGTGGTGATGATTTTTAAAGACCTTCATATGGTCCCCCCAAAGCTTTGAACGGGAGATAGGCCAGAAGCTAGAGTTTCAAAAGCATATTGTTTGTGCGGGTTTCTGCAAAGTGGGCTTCTCTCGTCGTTTGCTATGGAAAAAAATCGCTGATCATAGATTTTGCAACATATATACACTACCTGGACAAAAGTATCGGCCACCCTAACTTTCATCCCTCCAAATAACAGACTTCCATTTTCGAATAGACCAATCCTTTCTTTCAATACAACAGTTTAGGCGATCTTCTCTTTGCCGATCAGTAAGTAAAGGTTTGGATGCCAGAATGCGAGAAAAAAATTTAATTTCGTGTAAATTTCTCCTAATAGTTTTAGTAGAAACATCAAATCTGGTTCTTTCATTAAACAGTTTTTGAGTTGTTTTTTGTTGTTTTGCTTAATAACCCGTTCTTATGCTCAAAATTTAAAAGTTTTGGGCGGCCACTACATGGTTGGGTTGTGAGAATTTTTTTTCGAGAAAATTTTGAATTGTTCGTGTTACTGTTGTTCTAGGAAAGCCAAGCGTCTTAGATATGCTCGTTTTTGTAGCGCCACTTTTAAAATGATTAAAATTAACTGATTCAGTTTATTATATTGCTTACAGAAGAAATAAATATAAACAGCGCGTAAAAAATATCACAACAAGTTAGACTATAACATATAAAAATTTTAGTCCTAATTATTATGTAACTTTTGGGCAATTAATAAAGTTAGGGTGACCGATACCCTTGTTCATTGGGGTTGTATCAACTGACTGATATAATGCACATGACAATTAATATCTCTGTTATCAATAGAATTGATTGATATTTAACTGTATTACTCACACGGTATTTTTTTTTTTAATCAGAATATCATAACTGATGAACCAATGCCGAATTTTTGCAAAAACGCCTGAGCGATACATGCGTATTACAAATTATATTTTGAATACATAAAAACGTAAATGCGTTCAGCCTCCCCATCTGTAAAACACAAAAGATGATAAAGAGGAAAGCGCGTGTTACCGAACATGTTTCTGATACGAGTTCAAGAGGAAAAGATGACGAGTAATGGTACAAGGGAAGGTATTGACTTGTTAGTATTTTGAGATTGAATGATCATAATTAGTATGGTTTGTTGACACGATATTCATCCTGACGATTTAAGGTCGTCGAGCACGTAGCAATAATGAAGAATGGTAAGCGGACTGATGGAATTGCCGCTTTATAATAAACGAAGTTACTTATATTAAGGGAATATGAAAGAGACCCTGGTGGTCATGTAATGTCGCATGATCACGAACTTATCGTATGTTGGCGATGCATCACGTAAAGTGTATTGAAATAGCACTAGAATTGTATAATTGTTATTTGATTTCAAATTCAGGAATTCCATACATTGTCAAAGACAAGTCATACAAGATACCAATCTTTCGGAAGAATTGTATACGCAACTGGAAGGTTTCATACGCAAATATCAAGAACAATCACGAGTATGTTTCTGGTAATTAACATGTGTGTTATCCTGTTGCAACTTTACTCGTCGCGTAATATGTGGGACATATACCTGAAACTTCCCGACTGGACAAGTTTTCCAATCAATATCATCTCACATATTCGCAGACGCTGATCAATATATCAATCGCTTGCGTGAGATGATCTTCAAGCCATCTCTACTCAAGACGAAAACCACAAGTGAATACGAATGGAGAGTTGATCGTGAGGAAGGAAAGTCGTCGTGTTGTCTAGCTGAATTCAAAGAAGATATAGTCCGTAATGAGAGAATCTAAAGTGGGCGGTGCTATTTGTATTGTTAAGGAAGAAGTAATTAGCAGTGGCTACAGAGAATGAGCAAATAACACGTTGTATATAATCTTTTTATACGCGCCATTTCATATAACAATAAAACCGGTTAATACAAAGATGATATTTACACAAACAGATCCACTCTTATTTACAACCATATTACGTTTTCACATTGTTTATTTATAAATACACTCCATCATCATCATTATTTTCGTCCGCTTCATTTTCAAGTCTTGCGTTGCCATTTGCCGACACTGCGTGATCTTCCATCTGTTCGTCAGACTGCCCTTCATTATTGATATTAGGTCCGGAGGCATTCACAGATATTCCCGACGCGTGTTCTCCGTTTGGTCGTTCTTTTAATATATTCTTGATAAGAGAAATCTTCTCGATCTGCCTGTCTCCAGGTATTAAAGTTAAGAACGTCGTTTTCTTTTTCCAATTCGAGACTTTAGGATAACAAAAATTTCTCAACTACCTTCCTATGATCTTCTCATTCTCGGTGACATACATTTGTAACTCTTGATCGTGAGCATCGTGCTCTTTCATATCTTGGTTAGAACGAAGCAGATGTTTGTTTGAATTTTCTAATCTATTTAACTCGTAAAGTAAAGTGTCGTTACTTAAGGAACGCAGTTGAGCGATTGTAGGCTCGAGTGGCGGCAGAGGTGACGTCATGTTAAGGTTTTCTGGTTTGGAATGAAAAGAAGCAGAGAAAAAGACATCAAGTGAGGTGGAAATGACCATAAATAGGCGTCATCGGCGTGCGTGGCATTCTTGAATATTTAATTAAAATAAAGGTATATATGCTTTATTTAATTTCCTTTAAATACTATTCGACCAACATTATTATGGCCATGACTCCAACTTTGGAACGCCATTTACGACAATTTCTTCTAGATAACAGTGTTTGTCGTTGAACCATATCATATGGAATGTGTCCACGTATTGTACGTGAAGCCTTATACAAATATCAAGATGAAGCTGAAAAATGGCCTGATCAATGGATACGACGAGAACTGAAAGGGGAATGGGACAAAGCAAGAGCCGTACTTGCACAGTTTGTCAACGCGGATGTTGATGAAATTGCCTTTATACCAAGTTCTATAACTGGAATTAATGCTGTGCTGAAAAAATCTAGACTGTGAGAGTGGCGATAGGGTCAGTTGAGAATGGTGACACTATGTAATTGGAGGATAATGTCTGTATTATTGTGCTTGGTTAGATTCTTTTCTATCCACTGTGTCTTGAACTCTGTTAGAGACGCGAATAATGGCAAAGTCAATCTGATCGAAGTCGATGTGATTGATGCATCCCTGTCTGATGAAGAATTAATTAAGCGTACGGAATGCATTATCGAAGAAAGCCAAACTCGGAATCAAAGCAAGCTGTTATAGATGTTATCAATGCGCGGTACGCGTTTTTTATTGAAAATATGTAATATATGATAATAATGTCACTGATTGTAAATCTACTATTTTTAGCCGTCTTGCTTGGACTTGTTGCTCTATTTTTGCAAAAACCATATTATCTCAATCGTAGATGGTACTCATGACAGCTCCTGATTATTTTGTCACTGATTATCATAAATGGCTCTTATTCTATACAACCCGAAGTACAGCAATGCTTTACGTACCTCGCAGAAATCAAGGGAACATACATCATACTGTTATAAATGAATGTTACAATACAAGAATTCTCGTGGAATAGCTCGCAGGACTTTAGGTACACGCGCATATTTATGGACATACACATATATTATAATCAAATCACGTAGTAAACAACACAATACAACGCTCTCATCTAATTCGCTATACTATTTGTCCACAGCTCTTACTTAAGTATTCACGCAAGTCTTGCATTTCACAATAGTCTCAGAGGTGAATCAGCAATTCTTTACTGCATTGCAGCAATACTAAATATACAATCAAGCATATGGTCAATATTCGGCTATAGATACCTAGCAACATCCTACGACATGCTTATGTTTGACAAATATCGTTGCTGTATTATGGCTCTGTTCAAACGTAAGAGTCAGTGCACAGATTTATAATGATTTGGAGGATTTCGGGTCGCGGGAGAGACATTGCAGCAGATATGTGAATTGCATCTGGTCGCGTTTATACATACGTTGTTAATAAAATTTTCTGTTATTACTTGGTAGTTGTTGTTGATTGAGGAAATGGATTTGTTCTGGGTTTCGGTTATCGAATTTTATTCATAGTTCAATTCGAGATCTTCAAATAGATGTAGTATTTCCTCAATAGGCATATTTCCCAGATTCTTCCCATCTCTCCGGCGCACGTTAACAGTCTTGTGCTCTTTCTCCTTCTCACCGACTACGAGAATATAGTTATACTGAGCTACTTGGGCTTCTCTAATCATCTTATTCAATGTCTTGCCCGTTGACTTGTCTACATCAATAAATAACATATCTTGCTTATGCGATGCTCTACCATCCCGACTTGCCAATTGCTTCATCACTGTTTCCGCATACTCCCGGGCTGTTTCCCCAATAGGAATCACAATCGCCTGTCTCGGATTCAACCAGAACGGCCATCTACCAGCTGTGTGTTCCATTAGAATTGCCATCATGCGCTCGAACGAACCAAGGATGGCTCTATGTACAATCACGGGAACCTGAGAATTCCCATCGCTGTCTTGATAGGTAAGACCAAATCGTCGAGGCAGTTGGAAATCCAATTGAATGGTGGCTGTTTGGTGAGTACGGTCATGTGCGTCTTTGACGAGGATGTCAATTTTTGGCCCATAGAATGCCGCATCGCCTGGTCTCACCGTCCATGATTGTCCGCATGCGTCCAGTGCCTGCTTGAGCGATTCTTCGGCGCGCTCCCACTCGGAGATTTCTCCAATGTATTTAGACCCCGATGAGCGTGTTGATAGGACAAAATCATAGCGTGGAAATTTAAACGCGTTGTAAACACGATCGACAAAGGCTAGCGTAGACGAGATTTCTTGAAAGACTTGAGATTCTGTACAAAAAATATGGGCATCATCTTGGTGAAACTGACGTACGCGTGTCAAACCCGACAGTGCACCAGAATGCTCATTCCTGTTTTGGTTAGAAAATGCAAATTATAAATTATTAGGGAGGTCGGTGGGGGGGGGGGTGAGGAGAGGAGTTTTCGAGACAGCGAACGTTACAAAATGGGAAAATTATTTATTGAATAAACTACCGATGAAGAGCCCCAAAATCTGCCAATCGAACAGGCAAGTCTCGGTAAGACTTTGGCTGGTTGTCAAAAATCAAGCAATGACCAGGGCAATTCATCGGTTTCAACCCAAAAACATCATCCTTGCTCTCTTGGTCATAACTTACAGTAAACATATCATCACGATAATTCTGCCAATGACCAGATGCTTCCCATAGATCCTTCTTGTAAATCAATGGTGTCATTACTTCATCGAAACCAAAATCGGCATACTGTTTCCTTATATACTCTTGCAACTTTCGAAATATCCTCGTTCCATGTGGCAACATGAAAACGGCGCCCGGACTCCAATGATGAATCATGAAAAGATCTTGTGACTTTCCTACTACCCGATGGTCGCGCTTTTCGGCTTCCGTCTCTTTATGCGGTGTGGCATGTTGATGTCTTGTGGATATATTAGATAGCAAAAGTCGATTTGGTGATAAGAGGATGTGTCGCTTTGTTAGGAGTTGACCGTATCTTATCATAACTTTGAAGGATGGAAAGAATTTCTCGTAGATATACAGAGATCTCCCATCATACAAGAAATCACGTGATAATGTCTTCTTCAAGATATAAAAAGTACGGGTAATTTTTAATTCTCAAATGCTATTCCCATTATCTCAGTTCTATTCATATGCGTTCGGCACGGCTGGCCTAGTTGAGACAATCATTCTTTGCGTGTAAGACTTATTTTGATGCATACGAGGCGCGATTGATAAATTTCTTGTTTTGTCCCGTAATAATGAACAGCTCTTTCGAGGATACGTATACACTTCTTGCAAGTTAGAGTCAAGTTATAATCTCCCATGAACTATGAATAAAACTTCCATGAAAAATACTTGAGAGAGACTATAAACGATAGAGGCTTATCGTGTCAAATGCCCAAGCAAATTTGTTTATAGCTACAGACCTTTGTTGAGAAGGAGAGGTAAAAGATATGCAGTAAGAAGAAGTAATACAAAATACGTGTAAACTCTTTAAACCTTTTACCTCAGAACAATGTCGATGTCGTTGGTTTTAGGGCCTTACGCAACAATTGACGACTTGGTTCAATCATCCTTAGAAAGTGAACATAAACTTGAGTGGGCTCGCTAAATACCGACAAAGTCAAGTCAAGTTGACAAACGTCTACTGCGCTGTTCGATAATGGTGAAGTTTACGAAATGATGATAATGATGCCATAACTTGGAAGTATCGAACAACACTTGTGAGTGAGTTGCAGGAATATACTCACTTCCAACACACAAGTACAACAATGACGTTAATCAGTTCAGAAGACACAATAGACTGATACCGAGGATAAAGCTAACTATTACATGGTTGTTTATGAACTCTTTTACCATTATTCCCGATGTAAACAATTATCCAATGGATGGACTAAGCAATAATAAGCAACTCGATCAGTTTATTAAGACTCAAACTCTGCAAATGAGCACTATTTGGGATGGATTCAATTCGATTGTATTGACGAGAGGGGGATATGAATGTGGATACTTGTATTAAATTCGAGACAACGGATGAGACGGTCTATTATAAACACAAACTAGAAGTTTACCTATTGGCGGAAGATCGCTTTGGGTTTGAGAGTACATTAGGTTGTATGCTGGTCAATTATGTGAGAGGGCGAACATCAATATATTTAACCTATGTTTTATGGACAGGAAGTTTCGCAACGGAAATTGTGTACGCGAAGTTCTTGTCCAATTGAATGATGGACTTGTGAAGTTTGCGTTGGCAGAGGCCACACCAGTTGATAAATATATAATTTTTCTCGTGGAAAAATTATATTTGTTTTTTCATTCATTATAACACAACACAGGAGGTATTGTGGGTAATTTTTAGAATATCCAATTGCGTTTTGACCAATCGGGTATCTTATTATTATGCGCTTTTAATTTCTAAATCAAATATTGCAATTCCCTCGTTTTATCATTTTCGATCGCTATAACGGGCCTGCTTATTCTGTATTCAGTACTTCAATCATTAACAGACTGATTATTGTGCGTCTTTTGATACCAAACTTTCCATTTGAACAATTGGAGATTCTACAACTTGTGTTTATACATTCACGCGGGACAGATTTGTCTGACACGAAATTTGGAATTCTACATGGTTCTTGCTATTGTGCATAATGCTGCCATCTTATATCTATTTATATAAATCTTATTCACTTGAATAAAATTGAATAGCGTATTTATTTTATAGACGTATATTGTTGAATACGTTGATGGATGGCCCAAGATTGTTAGATGCCACGATTTTGCACCAATCAAACCTTGTTTATGGAAAAAAGACGTCTATAGTATCTCAAAATGATATACCGTAAACTACCATGAATAAGAGCCTACTGTGAATAAGGGCCCCCTCATATGAAAAAATGCTGCCGGTGAATAAGGGCCGTAATGCTATGAAATAACCGCCCCCTTATCACGTCAACAATTGACGTCATATATTACTTTATTTAGTATCGCTGATTTATTATAATGATTCATCGTCTTCACAAACATCCTCTGGTAAAACTATAGCTGGTTCATCCCCGCTCACAACACCTTTCCATATTAAGTCGTCTTCTGTACCATTGAGATCATTAGATAGCCCACAGGTTTTAAAGGAGTTCACTATAATCTCGTGTGGAATATCATCCCAAGCTTCCCTAATCCAATGACACATTAAAGAATTATGTAATAAACAGAGATAACGTGGACAGTTGTTACGTGATGATTCGTAGATCATTTTGTATTGTTTTTAAGGCGCAACCAAACATGCCATGAATAAGAGCCCCCTTATATGATGAAGGGGGGCCCTTATTCATGGCAGTTTACGGTACTTATAATTTGCAAAAAGCTACGGAAACTTATAGTCATACAAGAATGGGGAACATGAAATGCTGGAAATGCCTTTAGTAATAAATCGTGAAATTAACGTAAATTTCAACGTTAAGACCGTACTATTACGGGCGCAAAGAAGTTAGCTCGTCGTATAACCGTAACAGTAATAACACAATAAACACGTACGTATTCTAATGGTATTGTCTCAATATAATAAATCAAGTTCTTCCCAACATTTTTTTCAATTCCTCAGTGTGATTTGTTTATACGAAACAGTATTAACTGTGATCAGGCAATCTATTTTCACAGAACAGAAGTATCGATAAACGTGGATTGCCATATTATAAATATCAACACTGCCAACATTGTGACTAGCAATTCCCAATTCTTTACCGGTGCGTAACAATAATAACATCGCCATCGGTACAGCAAACCTTGGCCACTCGATGATTTGCCCAAATTAGATTTCATGGCATACATATATATTGCTCATATTAAAGAATGTCATTGTACACAAACTGCAGACACATATGTGTAAAACATTCTCTTGGGGAGGGGTAAATTGTTGCTATTCTTTTCGCTTTCGATAAGTCACGCCGAGATTAAGATTCGTAGAATATAATTACGATCTCTTTCGAATCGTATTTAAGGGCACTCCTTGGCCGTCAGCTTGAAATTTTGAAACATTAAAAGTAACCCATATGTGAAGTAAAAATTCCACTAATACAATTGGCCATGGTGCAATTAGTAAACTTGTTTGCAATATTGTAAGTGTCGCTGACTCGGTATAAATATTGAGCGAAAATAAAAGCTTATGTCGAAGATGAAGATTTATAAAATTTATGTTAGAAATTTAGTTATAATGCAAGGCAAAAAGGTTAATTATAATAAGTCATTGAATCCTTAAGTGAAAACATTCACCATATTTTAAAATATATACTGTAAATATAAATTTTCAGACAATTTGGTTTAGATTTCATATTTTATGAAAAGACGCATTTTATTGTTGTTAATAATTTTGTTAGTAAATGTTTGTTTACTAATTGACGGAATAAAAGTTTTTATATAAGCGGTTGGTTGAGATGCATCATCATTTAGTTATCCAATACTAAAATTTGTATTACTTTGTAATATGGCTTCTTATAATTCAACTGCTTACGCCTAAATTCTACTTGATTGGCCTCTCAATCTCCTGACCTCAATTGAACACATTTGGAATGACTTGAAAGGCATCTGAAAAACCGTAAACAAAATGCCAAACATTTGGAATTTCAATTTAATTGCAAGCATGCCAAGAAGGCTTGGGGCATATTTTTCTAATAATGGATGGCCGACCGAATACTAAAATAAAATTAAAACTTAAAACTTAAAAATTAAAAATCAGCGAAGTTTGATTTTACTTGCAATTGCTTTTTTTGTAATTATTTATCGCCCCCGAAAGTTGAATGCTTCAAAATTTACATGCTACAAACTGATATAAATTTCTATTTCTTCTATAAATAATCGTTACATCAAATTTTGTGTAAAGTAAAAAAAACTCCATCCGGATATTGAGTGTATATATTATAAGGAAAATTCAATTCGTGAACACTACGCAATAATAATAAAAGCAACAAAGATAAATAAATAAAAAACGTCGAATCAAAAGTTCATCCTTGTAAGACGAGCAAGTTCATAACTGTTCAGATCAACCATTTAAAACTTATAAACTGTTATCGAGGATTTCTCGATTCATCGAACATTCCACTTCTTGAAGGTATAATGCAGTTAAATATTCCGTTGCGTTTCGATAATATTCGCGCACGTCCAATTCTCGATGGCGTTTACCATAAATGAACTGGTTGCGGACTCAAATTGGATTGTTATGACGACAGTTGATGAACAGTTCTGAGGCTACATTTTAAAAGTCCTGTAGTTTTTTCAAGTTATTTAAAATGTTCACATCCTTTGGCTGAACCCATGCCTCGTGCAGGACTTATCACTTTCACACACATAACTCATTCTAGTATTCCGGTTAGTTCAACACATATGAAGTTAGATCCTTCAACTCTTAAATAGTGGGATCGATCATTTAAACTGATTACGTAAGTGAGGGTCTACACAACTTAAGACTGACTCGAATTATTGAAGAAGATACGGCGCGGCAATACTCAACTTTCGGCGTATTTGTGTGAATATTACGTCATCGATAGATCTAATGACGAAAACATAATCACCGTGACGTAACACTGTAAGCATTTCCATTTAGCACGTTAAAACGATAATGTTAAACGTGCTTTATTATTAATAAATACGCTCTCATTACAGCTTTTATTTAGAACACGTTAAATTTTAAGTTGGAGCCATAACGAGACTTTTACATACTGTAGGTATGAGCCTGTTGCTATTATTCAAAGCACTTTCTGATCTTCAATATTCACTAGCGATATAATGATAAATTGGCTGGCTGCCTGGTTTATGCATTGATCAACTCTCAGATAGCAAGCAAGCTAACTCTTCCAGAGTTGTAGAAAATTCGTGTAATAAGTTACAAAAACTACTCAATTAATGCTGCTAGTATTACTATAGTATCACCTACATCATCAGAGTAACCAGGTACGAGTGAGATTGCATATTTCAAATGATAAAAGAAGTAGCTTTAGCTTGAGAGGTTTACAATGGTGCTCCGCTAATGAGCGAGACTATAACAAACAAATACTTTAATTTTCAATGACCCGGAGTTAGTTCTTCGTACTATACATAGGATTTGTTTAGCGTGTGACAGTTTAAGGAGACATTAGCCAACTATCTGATATGTAACCTGTTCAGACTATTCAACTAATGTTTTTCACCCCTATAACACGGTTTTGCAGAGGTTAATACTAATTTCATTCAAATGACTTTATTTTACTGCCATTATATTCCAAAAGTTCTTTAAGCAACACCCTCTTTTAGGTCATTCGTTAAAGCAATCGCCCTTCGAGTATGACGAACTCCCACGTAGTTCTTTAAATAGACGACATGTTCTAAAGAAAGCTCACTTGATGCATTGTAACAAGTATAAATGATAGGGCTGATTAAATTGATAATAATGAAATGAATAATTAAGAACCGCTCAATATTAATCTGCAATGCAAAAGGGTTACGAGTGATCAACGTTGCTGGGAATTATTTATTTTTGGGACGAGTTAGATGAGATGAGATAAGCCATGTTATACTGTAATAGATATGTTGAACCTGTTATTCGTAGTGAGACACACATACGATGAGAGAGCAGGAAACATTGGTAGAGCACGCAAATGAATGGAAGTTTATTATGTACAGAGTTGTACAAAGAATTAAGGCATGGCTCTGCAGGATCTTTTTTTTTTTTTTGGTAGAGTGAATACAACGATAAGCATAAGCCATATTGTTGTGGGTGTCGTCGATGAGAAACTGGGATTTTTTTGTTATTTGGATTACAAGTCTTAGGTCCGTGATAGGAATAGTCAACCTTGTCCTATAAATGGTTTGAACAGACGGAAAGAAAATTCTCGAAGTAACGCAGAACGAATGATAATATATAAATACAGTATTGTAAACAAATACCAAGCATTATGGTAATTAAGGTAGACAGTAATGTTGCTTCATTGTTCACACAGCTTTAAATGGTCCATCATTATTATTGATACACAACAAACAAATACAAGAACGAAGTAACAATAAGAGTCAAATCGACCATGTATGAATATGGCAATTGTGGGCGTCAAGATCTTATCGGCAAACAACAACAAATATTTCATGTTTATGTTCTTTTATAGTTGCCTAATACCATATCGACGCCCTTGTGCGGATGCAAACAACAACCAAGCATCGAGATGCATCGTGTACATGTAGATTATTAATAGATTTATTAACGGTGTAACTGCAAAATCGGTTATAAAGAGAAGATAATGATAATTGGATAGCAGAAGAAGAAGTGAAAATGGTTTGTATGTATTAATATGAACGATTTACGGGTACGGTTATCCGGATAATATAATATGCTGTACTTGTACATCTGTGTACATACATATATACACATATACACATATACATATAGTACACACACATATACAGCACACACATTTACAGTACACATATACACCACATATACAGTACATATAATACCACATATACAGTACATATAATACCACATATACACATATACACATATAATACCACATATACATATACATACCACATATACACATATACATACACATACCACATATACACATATACATACACGCTAAACAACGACTGATGAATGATAAATATTATGTAAACATGTTCGCATTAGCACACAGGTTGCTCATTGGCTGACGCAACTTTAAAACGGTATCATAAAGCATCATCTCCCCAACTGAAACTTGCTTTGTTACATACAAACGTCAGCAACTCTAATAAGGAACACACAAAAGGGAATTTAAAAAAAAAATAAAAAATTTTAAAAGTGAAAAAATAATTAAAAAATAATGACGAATAGAATAACTAATATCAGATGTCTACTAGCTTAATTAATGTATATAGGATGGGGACTTGCACATGATATACACACAATTATTAGTACCTTGCATGATATTTAAATTAATACCTGCATATCGACCAGTCAGTTCTCACCATAAATATCCCTGCCCTCTTTTGCGCTTTCCATCAAATTTTGGAGGCGGAGAAAAAGTTGAAGATTTCTTATCGTTTTGGGATTAGCATTGTACATAAAAGTTAATTGCTGCACCTGCTTTGATGCTAGACAAAACACAAAAAGAGTAATTACCAAGTTTGTTTGTTCAAAAAGAGACCCAGTATATATATACATCATATACATTCACGTACATATCGATATATTTATATATATATACACACAACACATTTCATATACAATTTGACAGTTGCTCTCTGACTTTTTTTAGGGGACCTTATACTTGAGATTAGACTGTTTCAGTTTCTTTTTGGTAGATTTATGTCGCATATTACTATTACTATGCGCTATCGTCTTTTATGAGAATACCCCCCCACACCATACACACAACACACACCACACACACAACACACACAACACAAATATAAACATTCCCATTATTTTCTTCTTTCTGAATTTTTTCTCCGTCAAAACTTTTAACACTACTACTATTATCATCATTATTATTAACCTACTCCTCTCCATATTATTCTTTACGATTACTTATCGTTACTTATCTTTGTCTTTTACTCTTCCATAATTACTTCATTCTACATTAATAATCCCAATCTTATTCGTTCTACATTGCCATGGGTAAACTCAACTTACCCCGCTTCGGGAAGAAAAAGCCTACCGATGACGAGCTCTCTTCTCCTACTTCCCTTGAACCACCAAAACTGTCTTTCAGTTCCTTACCGGCAATAACCTCCGATTCTCTTTCGCCCATTACTCCCGAGCCACAACCAAAGAAAGAGACCAACTTGCTGGACGAGATATTTAGTCAGCTCGGCTCCGGATCTGTTGCAACGCCTGCTTCCAAAGATAAACCATACGGTAATTTGATGGATCCTCCGACCCATACAATTAACTAATGGCTGATTAGAAGCTGATTCTGCGCATTCGTTACATGTCCTCGACAAACCCGATATTCTTTGTGCATTTAATCCCAATTATCAATCATCCTCATTCACTCACTTTTCTTTTCTTATTCTCAGACGATGACATTGGTCTCGCTCTCGAATTCTCCCGTCGCTTAGATTTCTCATATAACACTTCTGCGTCATCACAACCAAAAACAACAACTGCAACAACCACTGCTAATTCGTCATTTTTAAACTCTACCTCATCTACCTCTTTTCTATCATCTCTCGATACCAAGTCCACATCAACTCCTTTACTCGATGATTTTTACTCCAGATTCAATATACCAGCTCCAGGCGCAACCAGTACATCTACTACTTTTACAAAAAACAATACTACTTTCACAAAGAATAATACAACTCAGCCCAAACCCGCCGCAGTTCATCGACCACCGGACAGCGACGACTCAAGTGTATCCAGTACATCCACAAAAAACCGCTCAAAAAAATTCAAAGAACCGAGGCAAGAAACAGCTCGATAGCGACGAAGATTCTTCCTCCTCGGATGATGGTTCTTCATCCACACGTCGTCCTAATCGAAAGCAGCCAGTCGACCCGGTCCTTCAACGTAGAAAAGCAGCTCACGAAAAGATTAGCGCGGTAGCCAACTGGGTCGAAGAGGTTGATCCAAAAGATGGTGAGAACAATGTATTGGATAGAATGAAAGACAGACACAGAGTTGAAGCGCGAGCTTTGGTCAATATATCAAACAGCTCATCCGCACACCTACCTCCCGGCCCTCCTCAACATCCATTTGCCGATGATCAATATTATCCAATGGACAATGGTGACTGGAATCATGATCCGCGTTACCCGTACGACAACAGAAATTACGACGCCGCTCCTATCCGAGATGACCATCGCATTCCTCCTCCTCAAGCAGTCCCGCGTGGATACCCCCCACATCCGGAAGACAGGAGAGATGAAAGATACCCGAGAGATCCTCGTCAGCCATATCCAGAAGACTACAGGGAAGATCCTCGCTATCCACCACAGCGCATACCACGCAACATGGACGAATCTCGTGAGGACTATTCTCGCTATCGTCCACTCAATCCTCAGTCTGGCGGTGGTCCTATCGTACCTAGATCTCGCCATCCTGACCTATACAACCGTTCAGGTGAATCACCAACCCGTAGTGACGCTGGGAGAAAGTTTAATGATGAAAGAAAAGTTCCTTCAAATAGTACTTCATCAAACTCATCGACTACTTCAGATCCACCGCCAATGCTTTACAAGTCAAAAGACCACAAGTTGAAACGGAATCTATCACAAACCGTCTTATCCAGAAGTGGGAAAAGCGACGAAAGACTAGATAAAGCAAAAGATAAGGGTCCTGAAGAAAGAATAAAAAAAGATCATCACTCGCCTCAATCTTCGGTTTCGTCAAACAAAAGCAAGAAAGGAGAAAATGGAAACTTGTTTTCATCAAAAGCATCATCTGTTTCTTCGCACGAAAGTAACGGTCGTGGTGGAAATGAAGGTCGAGGAGCCTATGAAAATCGAACGGGTTATGAAAATAGAATGAATTATGACAACAGAGGAGGACCCGATAATCGAGGAGTCTATGACAACAGAGGAGGACCTGACAATCGAGGGGTCTATGACAATAGAGGAGGACCTGACAATCGAGGGGTCTATGACAACAGAGGAGGACCTGACAATCGAGGGGTCTATGACAACAGAGGAGGTTATGAAGGTCGAGGAGGTTATGATAGCAGAGGAGGTTATGAAGGTCGAGGAGGATATGAAGGTCGAGGAGGGTATGAAGGCCGAGGAGGGTATGAAGGCCGAGGAGGGTATGAAGGTCGAGGAGGGTATGAAGGTCGAGGATATGAAGGTCGAGGAGGGTATGAAGGTCGAGGAGGGTATGAAGGTCGAGGAAGATATGAAGGTCGAGGGGGATACGAAAATCGAGGAGGATATGAAGGTCGAGGGGGATATGAAGGTCGAGGGGGATACGAAAATCGAGGAGGATATGAAAATCGAGGATATGAAGGTCGAGGGGGCTATGAAAATCGAGGGTATGACTCAAAACCATATGATACAAGACCGCCTCCCCAAATCTCAAAGAATTCTCCTCAATCCGACGACCCGCTTCATCGTACTCGTGAAGTGCCGAATCAAAATCGCAATTCATGCTCTTCTGAAGACAGTGACCATGCTCCACTTGCTACGAAAATGCAATCGTCAGGTTCAGTTGCTCAACCAAAGCAAGAGAAGAAACAGCAGCCCAAGAAGATTTTAGACTCGGATTCTTCAAGCGATGAGGAAGAGGAAGAGAGCGAGAGCGATGATGAACAGCCATTGAGTAAGGCGGTAAATAGTAATGGTACAATGCCAGGAAGAGGTGTTGGTTATTATCCGAATCCACCGAGTTCGTTACGATCCGATGATTATGATATGCGTGTAAATGGTGCGCCAGTTCAGCCTGGTAATCCACAGATGCCATCGAAATACGCATCGCAATACGATCATCGCTATTCCTCTCCTCCTCCTCCTACTCCTACTCCTCCCCCGCATTCTAATTCGAGATATGGAGGCTTCCGTGAAGATCCTGCCAATCGATTTGCACCAGTTCCTTATCGAGATGAGGCATATGAAGTTCCGCCGCGTCATCATCCTAATTATTACACATCACAACCCCCAAGAGACGATGTTCAATACGAAGCACGGGCTCGTTATGGAAATGTCAATGCACCGATTCCTCCTGCTCCACCAGCAGCTATCGAACAGCCGGCTGTCGATCCATCACTCTCATCTCAGAAACTACCCCTTATAGAAATGGCAGGCTATCGATATGATCAAAATAAACGAACTCCTATCAGTACACAAAATACTGGACCCTTTCTGAGTAATCTTGACTCGAAGATTCGATCAACATCTCCGATGAGGTATGGAGATGGGCAGCAGGGTGCAGGTGGAAGGGGTGGACAATATACTAGAGGGGTATATGGGAATGAGAGGGCAGCTCCGTCTGGACGGGGCATGTACAATAATCAACCACCATCAAGAACACGAGGAATGACGAATGGGGGAGGACCAACGAGGAATGGATATGGCAGTGGATACGGCGGCAATGGATACGTCAACGGATATAGTTATAGCGACAGATATCCGTACGATGATTGAGCAAATATAAAAAATATTAAAAGTATATATAGTTACTATTAGTGTATTGAGTTACCGGTTGAACTGGGACTATTGTCTTTAGGTGGGTGGGTGTGGGACAGTTGGGTAGGTTTGAGCATGTGATATAAAGTTTACAAAATTAATTCCCGCAATGCTTTATTACTTGTCAAATCGTCTTTTCCTTTTTTTCTTCTTTCCCCTTCTATTCTCATTAGATACTGTATTCAAAATGATTATTAATATTACTATCATTTGCTATTTATAGTTACTAACCGTGGTACATAGTCAACATAAAATTACATAAAGCTTGAACATTGGAAATTGGTGACAACATATTAGATAGAGTAAATATAGTTTATCCTAATAAATGAGTAAATACAATAATCTTGTCTGTAACATTTGATGAGGTGATGAATGGAGTAAATGAGAAATGATTAGTGAAATTCAAATCTTTCAAATATTTCCTTGTTCATTACAATGATATTTTCAAGTGTTGAACTAGTGCCTAAAATAGTAATAGGTTTCGAACTGGTTACCCTGGTCTGGCTGGACCCTGAGCTAATTGCCTATTGAGTTTTCCCCCCTGCTTTTTTACTTCTATAGTAACTATTCACCTACCTTCATGTATCTGTGTGTTGTGCAGACTAAATCCTACACAATCAATCCATCATCATTGATGCAAGGATGGCGCATAATACTTGCAAAAATTATCCGTAAAAATCTTCACCACAAATGTCTCGATGGAGTTCTTGTAACAACAGCCCGTTGACTTTTATTAGTATTTCTCTTTCTTTCCGATTACCAACTAAATGTAGCACAAACTGCAAACGCTGGTGAGGAGGGGAGGTTACACCGTCTGGTTTCACTCGTGTCATATGACCTACCTCCACTAAAAAATAACCGACGACAACTCCTCCTCCTTAATACTCGCCTTCTTTCTTTGTTTATTTGACTATCTAACCGCCGCCATAGAAAGAGTGTTCCTGGTAATACTTCGCTACATAACTGTTATTATTCAGTTATAGTGGTATAGTTTATAATACTATCGTAGTATTATCACGTATTTAAAATAGTGTTTGTGAGCAACGGACTCGATCCTAACTTATTATCACTTTTCAACACTTCACAACGCATCCCCGCCCTCCATCCCACGCAATTGTACTCATCCCGAATACTCACTTTTATAAATTGTACATGCTTTACCTTTTGTCGTAAAATAATCCGGACAGAAGACAAAATATGAGCAGAAGAAGACTACGAAAACTAGAAAAACAACAGTCAGACGTCGAAACAATAAGAGGAGACTCGGAAGACTCTTTAACTGACAGGAAAATAAAGAGAATAAGATCTGACTCTGACTCTAGTTTTGAAGAATCTTCAGAATTATCCTCGGTTGATAGTAACTCCTCAAAAGAGGACTCTAGTGACGGTGAACCCATCATACAGAACATTGGCAATAAAAGGGGTAGACCTAGGAAAACTCACCGCAAGACAAACAGTTTACAAATAACGCAAAAAACAAAACCACGCTTGGGGCGACGAAAACTGGATCCAAATGATGCAAAAGCAACAGACAACGCCGGTCAGACTAATTTACATATAGCATGCATGCGAAATAACATCCACAAAGTACGAACACTGATTGAAAAGGGTGCTAATATAAACGCAACAGACAATTCAGAGTGGACACCTTTACACGAAGCTGCATATGGAGGATATTATGAAATTGTTGTGATATTATTAGAACATGGAGCAAAAGTAAATGTAGTCGATAAAGAAGGCGATACTCCATTACACGATGCATGCTATCAAGGACATGTGGACATTATCAAAATACTTTTAGAATACGGAGCAGATGTAGAAAAAACAAACGATAAGAACGAGAGACCCGAGGATGTTATAAATAGATCTTCTGTAGAGTCAGACGAACAAAAAGAACAAGTCATAAAACTACTGAACACTCCAATACAGACTGAAAAAAAAACCAAAAAAGATAGGACGCAGATTAATAGAACCAACTGTGGTAATAGAAAGATCCAAATATCGAACATTACCGTCAAGGTCAGAGACCGTAGGCAGACGAGGCAGACCTAGAATACAAAGAGAAGAAATACATACCGTTCCGGTACCCCGAAGAATGAGTGCACGGAATACTACTAGATCTCTCGCATTTAACAACGAAGTACTCCGCATCGATCCGCGAGCCGTAGATAAGACAACAGGCAGAACGCAACTTCATCATATGGCTAAACGCAATAAAACACAAAATGTAGGTCATTTACTGGAAGAAGGAGCACATGTGAATGCGCAAGACCTCAACGGTCGCACAGCATTACATGACGCTGCGTGTGAAGGACATCTCGAGGTTGTCAGTATTCTGTTGGCATACGGAGCTGACCCTGATATTAAAGAAAAACATAAACATAATACTGCATTACACGAGGCAGCGAGAAAAGGGCACAAAAAGATTGTAGAGCTACTCTTGGAGTCTGCGAATCCAAAATCTAAAAACGCGGAACACAAGACAGCGTTGGAAGTGGCTAAAACAGCAGAAATTAAAAATACATTGAGACGAGCGATTAGAGAGGATGATGGTTGTATGGATTTAGACTCTGATGGTGATGATGATGATGATGATGATGATGACGACGACGACGACGACGACGACGATGATGATGAAAATACAGATTCACCGGAATTGTCACCGAATGTAACTCCATCGCCAATACCTCCATCACCAATGACTCCGTCACCAGTAACACCTTTATCTGGGATGCAGTTTCCCGAGTTGTCATTACCGTCGAATACAATGAATCATAAGAACATGTCATACCCGGAATTACGATCGCCAATCTCTCCGACAATCGCTGTACAGTCAATTGGTATGCGATCTCCAGGCATACAGTCTCCGGTTATGCTCTCTCCCTCAATTCAGTCCTCTGAGTCCCAGTCTTCTCCTCTCACTCCCGTTGATCTTCAAGCGGATTCGGACGCTGATGATCTATCTCCACTCCACCTCGACCACAAGCGATGGAATAACCCTAATGGCTGCTTACCTCTTCACACGATTCGTCTTTACACAGACTCGTCCGACATTCTCCAACTAGCCTGTTCAACAAGTTCATCTTACCCGAAAGAGAAGGCGTCACCGTTTGTCCTGGATTTCCAAATAGAACGTTATCTCGAAATGTCCTTTGGATCTTTGGTGAGCAGTTGTCGCGGATTGACATATCGTACTGTCAGTAATACAGAGAAGGTGAAGTTGTTTTCAGCGGTTAGGTCGTCATTATATGACGAATTGATGGTTGGGTGGAACTTTGAGAAAAAGACCAAAAGGCATCTGAAGAGAATTTTGTTAGATGGGCCAGAGTTTGGATTTGACAATCAAAGGAGAGACTTTCTGGCCAGGGTTGTTCATTTTGTCAAGGTTAGTATAAGAAAGACTATGGATAGGTTGAACAGTGTGATAGTGGAGGATTATGTGAACCGAATGTTCAAGCTATGATGCTCAGTATTTTATTTTCATTCACTTACTTGATCGCTATGGCGGCTTTGATATTTATTTAACGACTGCTACTATCATTGTGTTAACCATTTATTATCTATTTTCTACCTTTACTCACAGCTTGAAGATGTAATGGCATTAATCCTCCGAGACTTTAAATACTTTGACATACACCAAATTGCCCAGATATCCATTGATATCTGCAATTCTCATGATATAATAGCTCAGTCAATTTAGAGTTAAGTAAATAAACTATTACTTTGTTCATTTTTGCTTATTATTATTAACCTTTGGTTAACTTTATTGAGAACTTTTTGGTCTCTGTTGACATATTCTGTTCTCAAGATTAACATTGCACAATTAAGATTGTAATAGTAGTCTAATATTCATGAAACCAACTCTCTATTACTATACACTTGCTAGTCAATTGTTATCTTTTGGTGCACATACAAATTGTCACCTCAAAAATCGTATTCTTGTTAATTAAATTTATATAAAGAAAGACAATCATACTACAAGGCTGTGATACAATGAAGTTAACATGTATCTATGAATTTGTATTAGCAATAGTCTAAGTCCTCTTTATCAAAAAAGACAGTCCAATAGCTTATCTCAAGTATGAATATTCAGGGGAAAGCTTTTCTATTTCATGATTTTAGTAAATTTGAAATGGCTAAAATTTCTGTTGTCTTGTCCCAACTACAACATCTTTCATATTAGTACACTTAAAGACGACTTTTGGATTGTCTACTGTCTCTGGAGTTTTCTCTACAAAAATCACGCTGGTTTAATAATGGTCTGTTAAATTTTCATTTTAGAAGATTTTTAATATTAAATCACACTATTACTTACTGCAATACAGCTCTCAAACTAAAAAACCAAAGATATTATCTATATCAAGACAAGGTCAAAATAAAAAGCAAAGATAAAACACCTTTAGCATTCAATCGTAGGTGTTACTAAAAAGATCGCAAAACTTTAAAAGCAAAGATACCAATTTAAAAATAAGTTATAAAAATAAGCCCATGAAAAAGCAAAAACCAATTTGTTGGCTCTATTGTTAGTAAAACTCTTTCCCTCTCTTGAGAGAGGTATCTTTCCACTGGTATGCAAGAAATATTGCCTATTAATGACGCCGTGTCAATGCGTTTCAAATTTCTATTGCTTGAGATGCATTTCAAGTCGAACATGATACAAAGAAAAGATTAACATAATTTAATTTTATAAATACTCTGGTATATACAAATAAGCATATGAGATAACTATTTCGCACTATACTTTGTCGCTAAATATTTAACTATACAAGTAACATAATAATAATAATCCTGTGTTATTAAAATATAACGCCGCTCCCAAATATTGAAATCAATAGCTTATTATCATATTGAAATTATATTAGTTTCTCCTCTTTATTAAAGGCAAAAACTAACCGCTAATTATAAATGGGTAAGTACCCTCTTTTTACATACCTATCCCGAGGAACTTTTATTCACAACGAGGTGCCTCTTTTTACATATCACTGATATAGTAAAAATATGGATATATTTTCGTAAGGATTCTAGTGCATGCTGCGCCAGAGAAAGTAGCCACATTGTCTGCCTATATATATGTGTGTTTGTGAGACATACTGTACATGTGTTTGTGCTAGAGGACAAACGTTGTTTATTACAAAGCAACAATATTGTCGATTGGTCAAAGCATCAGGATTAAGCCAAACCGGTGCTCGAGAAATAGTAACGAGAACTGAACAAGAAAGAAAATAGATGAAGTAAATCCTCTCTCAAACTCTTTACTAAGTAAATCGGCTGCTCCACCTGCACTACGACAACCCCGTCTCTTAATTACTTTGCCTTTGTTAACTTCTACTTCATTAAGAATTTGAGAATTTTTAATTAATTTTTCTTCAGTGTCATTTAAAATTGGATTTCAGTTGAACAAGCAGTTTACCTTAACTGAATAAACTTGCTGGAAGAAAAAGAAAAATCTCGCCACTGAGGCTTTCTAGAACTAAATAAAATTCATCAAGAAATAAAAGGAGTCTAAGGGGAAAAAAAGAAATTAACTCAAAATTAAGTAATAAATTAACCATCAATGCCATCTCTATCTTCATCTTACTACTCCCGACGCAGTTTATCAAGTCTTGCTTGTAGTGCCATATCATTATTTGCTTCAATTTCGGTCTCGGTAACTCTCTCCGATGCACCGATTTTTTCAATTGAAGTTGGGGCATCGACCAGCTACAATAAAGAAGAAGAAGAAGAAGAAAAAACAACAATGAGCAAAATTCATTTATAACAAACTCTTTTACTCTTTGCATTAGCTCCACTCCGTGCACAGTTAGCTATTCTCTTCAGTTCAATCACTCACCGCCTGGTTCAAGGAAATGCCAATCTCATCCAACACCTGATTAACAATTTCGTCACTCTCCTCTTCATCTTCTTCCTCATCCATAACATCGTCAATAACGTCATTCATCATGTCTTCCTTCATGTCCATAATCTCTGATTCTTTTTCAAAATCCATCATAATTCTTTGGATTTGTGGAAGATTCATTTGACGGTTCATTGACTTCATGGCCTAGCAAATGGTAATGATAATTGACGGAAATATGGATTAAAAAGAATGATTGTAAACACCAAAGTAAAGAGTATATAAACAATTAGTACCTTAGTCGCGCCTTTCATTGCTTCGGACATTTGTTGATTGGATCGAAGTGTCTAAAAATGAAAGAAAGCAAAGTGGTAAAAATTGTTCTAACAAAACCGCTTTCACCATTTCCAGTATGATGTCATGTTCACCTGAATTCTCAATCCTACGCCTTGCAGCTGAGTTTTCATGGCCTGAAATTTAGATGCGTGTCTCCGTGTCCTTACCAAGTCCTTTGCCATAATCTTACATGCACTCTATCCGACAAATACAATTAAACAACAAGTCAAATTAACATTCACAATCAATACATATTAACTCACTCTGAACATACATAATTCCCTCTTTCTCCATTCATAAACACTTAAACATTCATCAAACGAATTCCCGTTTCAATATAGACCAACCATTTGATTTGCCTTGGCAGCTTTCTTAATGTCAAGTATTAACTTTTTCTCCTGAGCTTCAAGTTTGGTTCGCTCCCTATCGAGTTCTCGTTGAGCTTTTTGGAGTGCTCGCTGATGTTGGCGAAGCATCTCTTGGGGTGATTTTCGTCGTCCAAATAGCATGTCCTAGCAATATACGGAGCATGAAGAAAGAAAAGGGTGAGATAGATCTTTGAACTTTCCCCTATTGGGATTTAAAGAAAGGGAAACTAGTGTAGGGGTTGGATTGCAGAGGATCGCTTGTTTAATCATTGGAACTATTTCAGAGTTGTTAATAGAATGTAGACAGAAACTGTCTTGTTGCATTATGTGTACAACAAGCTCTGTAGACAATTTAGAGAGTAGAAAGCTAACCATCATTTTGGCAGATGTTCTTCTTTTCTGGTGTCTCAATTCTCGTTTGTAAACAAGGTAACGGTAATCTGACCCAAAGCTTAAAGTTTGCAACCTCACGTGATAGAGACTCTTTTCAGGGGACAGATTTCCTTTGGCATGTAAATGGATTTTCACGTCCGCGTTAAATCAATTAACATTAGTATTGGTAGCCACCACCCTTCTAAACTTTAAGTACACCTTTAGCGTTCAATCGTAGGTGTAAACAAATAAAGAACGCAAAACTCCTTCTAAACTTTAATTTATTTATTAATACGGTATCCTCACTATTATTAAGTTTTTTATCTTTTGTTTTCACTATCTTTGCGGCTTACGTTTTAGATTTTTCTACCAGTAAATGCTCGAGAAAAGAATCTATTCTGTAGTGCTTTACGAACGAACGTTATTTTGTTCAAAGAAAATAACGACAATGATTCTGTTCGTTTATCTTACAATCACGTCATCGTTGATCGCTGGGCATAATTGTCAAAGGTTAATATTAAACAGTCTTCGCGTTTTCAACATCCCTATTTTTGAGATCGAAACTTTGTTCTTTGTAATTGTAAGGCTAACAAATCTTATATTACCACTATGATAACTAAACCCAAACATTGTTACGTGACAGAAAAGGTGGGAGCTTAATAACACTGTTACAGGTGACATAAGTAATACGGCTATAGGCTAGAATCGACTCTTTTTTCACTGAACCGAAAGCGCATCGTGACCGAGCTCGCCGTATGGTGGACGACCTGCTGTAAACGTCCTTCTTGGTTATGATACAGGTTCAATTTTTTGTTTATTGGCTCTGATCCAAGAGACGGAGGCGAGGCGATGGTGTAGTTGAGGCTATAAAAAAGTCACGCTTATTATAGTGCAAATGCGACAATGGAAGAGTTGGTAAATAATTTATATTTTGACAAATATTGTATGTCTACATTATTTGACATTTAAAAGCTCCTGGTAAATTTGAAGCAAGTGCTCACTGAAATACTGTTGGTGTTTGTTCTAGTTGCCCAAATTTTGGAGATGAAACAGAATGGTCAAGTTTCATATTTCTATTGCAATTGGCCCAAAATCTCAACTCCAAATGTGACAAGAAAAGTTGGCCCACTAAGTTTCATACAAATTATTATATAGGGCAGACTGCAACAAAACCGGACAAAGTGAACATTTTATTATGTGACATAAATGAGAGGCTGATTATGGTGTGGCTGACTACTATTCTACATACAAACTACTCTACTGTATTTTATGGCCTCTGGTGCTGGAAGTGGCAAATCTTGCAATGCAACTGAATTACCCAATGTATTGCACCATTTATTTGATGACAACCCAGAGCTGAAGAAATGTATTGATAATGCACTGGTCTTCAATCTTTCATTTGAGAATGGTACTAAAATTGACCCAAATATTGAGAAAAATGCCAAGAATGCCATTGGTAGACATATGTTCCATCAACTCAAATATCATGATTGGTCTACAATATGTGATAAATATAGGGACATCTCACCACTTGATGTATTACAGGAGATTTCCAAGAAAAAGAATGTGCAACTTGAAGATCTAACAGTCATTATCATCATTGATGGACTATAGACAGCAATGATTACACCAGAGGATGGCAAAGACAAGTCATCCTTATTTTATTCTTGTATGACTCAATTATCTGCTCTTGCCTATTTAGGCCCATTCATCATTGACTGTTGTAGTTGCACAGCAACTTTCAGTTGATCTTTTCATGAAGTTATTGCAGATTCACACCAAAAACGTCTCTACCTTCCTATTCATTCTCTGAACCCTCCAAAAAGGAAAGGAATCACTGTTTTCCCAAACACACCTCTTCTAAATATGCTCATTAATGATATGGGTGGACATGGTAGAGCATTGGAATCACTTGAAATAGCCATTAGAGGCAAAGACTTAGATAATTGTAATTTTGCTGACTTAATGGATAGTATATGTTTAAGTCTTACTGACTGTTACAGTGAATGGGTAAATCAAACAACATATTTGAAACCAGTTCTTCATCTAATATTAACACATAATATGTTTGGATTAAAAAATTTCATTCCTGAATATTTTTGTTTTTTGTTTTGTAATGATACATCATTATTCTGCTTTCTTTTCTTAATATTTATTATTTTTCGTTCTTTTTGGTAAACTTCATAAGTGATCTTTTCTTGATCTAGATATTTGGGTATTATTGATCTTAAAAACATATGGAGCAATTTTTTCTCGTTCTTTTTTTAGAATGCTTTGAATGGTGCTGTAATTCTTGGGTTCCATAATGGATTTAATTATAATGTAAATTAGTTTCATATTAATATTTTTTATATAGGAATAAATCCTATATTAATCCTGTAATGGTTTATATTTATCACATTCTGGTATGATAAAATGGGGCATGCTGCAACAAAACCAGACAAAGTGAACATTTTATAAATGAGAGGCTGATTATGATGCAGCTGTAAAACTGACCAGTATGACTGATGACGTTTTGAAAAATAATAATGGTGCTCATTCATAACTTATGGACTGGTTAATTTTAATGCTCACTTTATTATACCAGAATGTAATGAATATAAATCATAACATGATTAATATAGGATTATCTCTATTTAAAAAATTATAATATGAAACTAATTTACATTAAGTCCACTATGGAACCCAAAAATTACAGCTCTATTCGAAGTATATTAAAAAAAGCTCAAGGAGAGAAAATTGCACCTTATGTTTTTAAAATCAATGATACCCAAACTCTCCAAGAATACCTAGATCAAGAAAAAATCACTTATGAAATTTATCAAGAAGAACGAAAAATAATAAATCATAAACAAACCTTAACCCCAACTTATAATGAACCAAGAAAGAAACGAAAACTAGAAGCATAAAGCAATTATCAATAAAAAGTTAGGCATTTTTTTTTTACTTTATCTAAAGTAAAATTAACTTAGACTATTTATATGGTATGGTGTGGGACACCTAAAGACCGAACAGTCCGAAATTTTGTTCTGCAGATCACTTATCAATCACATGATATTTGTCCAATAAAATTCTTTAAAATAATAATGCAAATTTCGCTTTA